TGTAATTGGAAGGTATCGAAGGAGTCACCGGCGGTAATCAGTGCAAATTGCGCCCAGGTCAAACCTGAAGAGCGCATTGGATTGTCAAACATGCGCAGCGACGACTACCGCGCTTTAAGCTCGATTTACATGACAGTGTAAAATTCACATTCACCAGTCGCTGTGGGAAAAATGACAATATGCACACTAGTTACATAACTGATAAATCGCCACAGTATCGTCACTGCATGTATTCAGGTCGTATCATGGTATACTATATTTACTGATTTGGGCAAACCGCCGGATTCTATTTCTAACACTAGGGTATATATCACGGCACATCTGTTATATGCAGATGAAATGACAATATTTAGCTCGACTTGAAGGACGGTGGTCGTACAAACTGGGGCGTTACCAAGCTTTAACTAAGTAATTTCTTGAGTGATTGAAAGTCATCGAGGGAGTCACCGGGGGTAAGTGTACGTCTCGGCCAGGACAAAACTCGTACTCAATTAGAAGAGCGCATTGGACTATGGGAAAAGCAATGTTTATCAACACATATAACGCGCATGCGCGGCACGACGACCATCGCCCTATAAACAGAAATACAACGTTTATTGAATTAACTATCAATTTATTCTAATAGATGGAAATTGAAAGTTAACCTGTTTAAATCTAAAATAATGGTGTTCAGGAGAGTGGGTACTTAAATCATGTGAGAATTGGTTCTTTGAAGGCTTGACGTAGTTCATGGCTTGGCGTTTTACTGTACAGTTCAAGATTATGGAATTGTAACCAACGATACACCTCTGTTCGCAATTGGAAAGCACTGTTTAGTGTAAAACAAGCTTTGTGTAACTTTGTATAAAAAAATATGCGAATATTGATATATTATTGAAAATATTGAAATTGTTAAAAAACAAATTCTGTCGCTTTATTTAGGAGCTATACCAAAATATACAAACTATTCCTGTTAAATTGGTCGAATTTCAGTACGTTCCTTTAGACCATTTACAATATTGGATTTGATTTCTGTCATTGTTACATAACCGGTTTCTATAGAAGTGTTTTCAGTAAAAGGAAGCTGAACAGGGAAAGTTTTGGTGGGCTTTCAAATTCAAACAACTATTGCTTTCATCAGATATGCGAGAAGCATGGTACAAACAAGATGTGTGCAATATAACAATTATTCAAACAACGATGTCTGGATATCGTTATCCAAGGATGGCATGGCAGTCTTATGTAAGATTATCTTGAAAAATAGATACCTGTAAACTTATCGTAATCTTTATTCAAACTCTGTACTCATCGTTAGTTGAAAAGGCTCACTTAAAAATGCATTAGATACATATAATAAAACATTTAGATTATGCTCTTACTGTAGCTACAACGAGGTGGAGGACGAATATCACTTTATTATAATATGCCCTGCTTATGATGCCTTGGGAGCACGTTATTTACCTTAATACATGCCTTCATCCGTCCGCCAATCAAACACACACTTTAGAATAGGAACATCCGGGGATTTTTGCAGTCTAGTGAGTAATGTACGGACCGTCGTCAATAGCAACGAGGCGCCGCAATTCTGAATTAGCCACTCGGTACAGCGACGGACATCACGTTCGGTGGTTTTAACGGTACTTTGCTTCTGGTGTGCTTTTATAAAACCGACCACTTCGTCTGGTACTTCATTTTCTGGTGATGGTGCAAGAATTTCATCAAGTTGGTCCAGTCCTATCGACCGAAACCACTGCATAATATCCATTTCGTCTGCTGCCGCCATTATCGTCTGCAGGTTGTCGTGGGAGCCGGTTAACAGGATGCGTAAACATATTTATCTGCAGTACAAAACTTATCGATCAACGCGATTGCAACTTTTTACCAATAAGAATTATCTTTAAACCTTTAAACCCTGTATTCTGTGGTCGATTTTACAAAAAAACACATTATCGCTAATAATAGGATTGATTATGCTAAATATGGGTCCCAATATTTAGATTGTGTGGTATATCCTAGCAGATAAATTGACTGGGCATATATTCTCAATATCATTGTCAGTGTTGCTTACAAGTTACACTTTTTCATGTTCGTGATTCACACTTTGGTGGCATTAGTTCCGTGGTATTACCTCATGTGTGGAGAGATGTGCAATATATGTTGCCCTGGTCGTTGATGGCGCTACCACGTCTCACGTTATGAACTGGATGAGGGCGGCGATGTTGTGATATAGCCAGCTAGTAATTATTAATAATTTAATTCTGGTATAAATCAGTGACAGTGGAACAAACAGCAATGTATAACTCAAATGTAGCAGTTTTCAAAGCAGATGAAGTCAGTACGTCACGACACAGTCTCGAAAATCGTAAACCTATATAAACAAGTCTTCACATCAAACATAACAACAATGTGTTGGATTTTCAGATATATCACCCAATATCGTTGAAGATTTGTAATTTGTTAATATCAATGTTCGTCGTAAACCTTAAAACGCTGTTTTACTGCACATAGCTTATTTGTATTTGTTCAATGAAACACTGACACGCTGATTGTGTTGTGTGATAGTGTACAGGACATTTCCTTGTGGTGATAATGAAGAGAACGTCACTGTATTCATCCAGCCATATATGGTCATACCTTTTCGGAAGTTAGCAAGAGCATACGTTATAACCAGGGTACCTAGCACAGACCATTGTACAGTGCTTATACCCGTTTAGAAACGTTCATCATCGAACTTACATACAAGTTAAGAGCACATCGGAGCATATAAAATTATAAACAGTGTGAATAACGTGTTACGATAGAAAAAAATAATATTTTATAATATGTTAAAAGAAACTGTGGAAGTCGATGTCTCCTTAACCGTCAGAACGTAGTTCTTCGTTAGAATGTAATATATAATGAATCACTTAGCAATATGGGAATAGAACTAAATCATCGATATTTGTATAGAACAGACGTCGTGTGTAAGCAATGGCGTATAACGCGTGTAAAATATATTGTTTATTTACGTGAAATTAGAATACGCGCTGCGTGACGATCGTCTTCCTTCCACTTGCTAAGAGGCGACTTGTGTGTTATATATCAGAAATAACACTATATAAAAGACAAGGTTGGTAGTAGTTTGCCTTGGCTTCAAATGCACGGCACCAACCAGGCCATCTAAGCGATTTCAAATTGAAAATTTTGAAATCAGAACTAAAATTAGTCAAATTGATTTCGTGATCATGTATACTACTTTTTAACTTTCTTGTTGTTTTCACATTAGTTCGATTATGCTCGAACTAGGGGACTTGTCGATTATACGATCTATCGAATTCAGTCTAAAGTTCAGCGACAAATTTGCTTGAATGTTTTCAACATACAATTTATGTGCATACTTCTATGTACAAATGTGTATATCCAGTACGATTACATGAGTTCAAAATTACATTGGTATATATATATATATATATAGAAATATATTAAATAAATAAAGTATTTACTTTAATAATGCCTTTTTTCAATACTAATTGACCAAAAGCACATGATAACAACAAAAAACAATTCAACAATAGAGAAAATGAAATAAACACACACACACACACACACACACACACACACACACACACACACATATACACACACACACACACACACACACACACACACACACACATATATATATATACGGTCATTTATTTATTTAGCTTTACCAAAAATTTACAGTAATATAGGCGTTCGAGAAAAACTGGATGGGGAGATACGTCTGGTGAAACACCTACACAGGACATCTTCCCGAGATGATACAAAAAATGGGGGAAAATTAAATACAATAATCAAAATTAAACATTTGATAAATCTCGAGTTCAATTGGAATTTGCATCAAAAGAATTCAGAAAAACTGATTCCAAAAATAATGCTTGATTCTCTTCATAAATACGAAAATAGTAAAATTTACTAGATGAATCAGTACAGATCTTATACGTTGGTATTTTATTCCCGTTGTTAACAATACGTATAACTGTCAACTCGCTTCTATACAGAATATCTTAAAGTGCAATTTACTTTGATCGCTTATTGCTCGTCATACAATTATAGATTAAATACCTCCAGAAGTCTGTTAGTGCTGTCTTGGCTAGCAATTGGTGGAATGTATGATTTTACTATTCCAGCAATGTATTTTGCCGCAAAGTGTATAATAATAAGTACCGTTGAGGGCGGTATAAGAATAACTGCAACAGTAAGGCGCACGGACAGTGACTAGGGAATGAAATCTATGAAGTGCCTACCCTTAAGCGACTATGTAGAAAAATCTATTGACCTTTAGATTTGTCGAACAAAAAATCCCCTGCTCTCGTAGAATGTTATTTTTATTCTGCCCTCACATCTTGGAACAACTTCTTCGGTAAACAGCTCCATTCAAGTTGTTTTCACTCGAATAGCAATAGTTTATAGTGGATATCGTTGAATATTTCTTATATTATGATATCTACTTATGCTAATTTACGCCAACCAGAGTATTGTCTCACGGGAACCAGGTTGCCCTGCCCGTCTGCAATTCGGGATTTGGTCTAATATTCACGTAAGCATACGGTATTACTCGTGGGACTTGAATATTGTCTTCGATGCGCGGTTTAAAACTCAGGTTAGAGCGCCACCAATCACTTATAATCAATATTCATGCGTTTATTTAAACAGGTGGTTGGGCTATTGGAATTTTCCTTCATAGGAATTAGGGTTTTTCTTTCATTATTTGTATTAAATTATTCCTATATTTGGACTGGTGCATTTATTTCATTTTTAAACTCATTCATATTTTTGAATATGAAATGTTGCCAGTCTAAAAGTTCTTTGACCAAATTGTTATTCATCCACGCCGACAGACACAGCTTTCCCAAGAGACTTTGTCAACAACCCAACGGATTGTTCAGTCGATTTAATAATTAATAATTAATATTTATTAAAGTGACGACATAGTGATGTTGTTTTCACGTACTACGCATTTACGCATGCGTATGCCAGTTACCAAATATCCATCATGGCGCCGACAGGTGACAAACTTTGTATCATGTTAACGTTCTCTATGTCATCGGCGCATTTGTAGTCCAACGTTGTACGTACACCTACGATATCGTAATGCGTCACATTGCAGATGATGTCATCGACAATGTACGGCGTTTTTTCAAGTAAAGGTGAGTTGATCGCCGAGAGTCGAGGAAAAAAATCGCAGGCAAGTCAGTGATGCGGTTGCATTGTAGCGATCGTCAATGAATGGCTATACAAACAGCTGAGATCTGTCAACATCGTCAGTGCACGATGACTAACAAACTACTGTGCGGCACTGTATACGTCTGGCACTGATGTCGCCAATGCAAAAATTTTGATCAACGTCATCCAGTTTCAAAACTGTATAAAATTAATTCAAAAACAAGCAATGATTACAAAACCATCCTCTGTGCTATCGGCCAAAGAAAAGAAAAGATGAAGACGTCTACATTGTATCGCAAACAAACAATCGCCACATCGTTAATTGTTCGTTTGATGTTGTTTATTTTTATTTGATTATTCGTGTAATTCCCTGACAATTCCAACTGTTGAATTCTGCTGCTTTTCTCTTGCCTATTAGAATTGACATGTTACCAACGAAGCGAAAGAGTTTGACCTTCAACGGTAGTCGTCCAACCAGTGCCCGGAGAGGCTCGGTCGAGGAACAGTCCGTTGACCTGTTCGGCGTGCAATTCGAGGTAAGGCAATTACTATACAAAAATAAAATGTTCAGAAAATTATTGGTCTACTCCCACCGATGTATGTGCTATGAAAATCAAAACGACCTTCAATTTAAACATGAAAAACAAACAATGAACCTCATTTTAGCAGTGTAAATTTACAGTCCTTCAGGGTGTGTGAACCACAGGGGTGCATGGGCGTATATAAACCCATGGTTTACAAATCTAGATCCACGGTAAATTATACATCTCTTTGCTATTTGATCGGAACATGGTGTTTCAGACCGTCAATGTATATAAACTCAAAATTAATTCTTAACACATAATCCCCAACTTAAATTTTCAGTCACTACCCATTGTATAAGGTGGCCTTCAGTGTTTGAATTTAAAAAAAGAAACTAACTCATTCAGAATATTATATATTTCGGTGTCAAATAAATGCAATGGAAACTTCATGGATAAAATTATGTACCTTTTCTAATTTTTTATGATCACAGGTATCTTGCAATTACCATTATTTTATACAGATAAATTATGATATATTAGGAAGCATTGTTTCAATGTAAATTATGTACATTGCTAAACTCTCACTTGAGTGTTTGTTAACTTTAAAATTGAGAATGAAAAACAACAAGCTATATATATAATTAATACATATTTTGAAAAAATCTAAAATTCTCATTGGAATTAATATTGACACATCAAAATATTGTAAAAAAAAGTTGTCATTTGAAACTGAAAATTGAAAACTAGCAATCACATCATGAAAATATGTTATATAAATGTGTCATTGATGTTGCCATGGTTACAAGTAAGTGAGTTTTGCACTTCTACTATCGTGATAGTCATTTTTTAGCTCCGCTGTCGACTTTGTCGAGCGGAGCTTATCATATGAGTGATTGTCCTCCGTCGTCCGTCGTCGTCGTCCGTCGTCCGTGTCAATGTTTTACTTTTTCGACTTCTTCTTGAAAACTACAAGCCTGAATGCTTTTGATACTTGGTGTATATGTACCTTGGGTAGACCTCTCTTAGGTTTGTTCATTTCATGTTGATATCTTCAATTCTCTAATTTTGGTGAATATTTTTGTCATTTTTGGTAAAAAGTGATATTTCGACTTCTTGTTAAAAACCACAAGTGCAATTGCTTTGATATTACATATATAGGTACTACATGTGGACCTCTCTCAGATTTGTTCATTTTGTAATGATATCTTTAATTCTCTAATTTTGGTGAATATTTTTGTCATTTTTGGTAAAAAGTGATATTTTCGACTTCTTGTTAAAAACCGCAAGTCCAATTGCTTTGATACTACATATATAGGTACTACATGTGGACCTCTCTCAGATTTGTTCATTTCGTGATGATATCTTCAATTCTCTAATTTTGGTGAATATTTTTGTAATTTTTGGTAAAAAGTGATATTTTCGACTTCTTGTTGAAAACTGTAAGTCCGATTGCTTTGATATTACATATATAGGTACTACATGTGGACCTCTCTCAGATTTGTTTGTTTTGTGATGATATCTTCAATTCTCTATTTATTTTGGTGAATATTTTTGTAATTTTTGGTAAAAAGTGATATTTTCGACTTCTTGTTAAAAACTGTAAGTCCGATTGCTTTGATACTATTCATATTGTTCATTTTCTAATGATGTCTTCAGTTCTTTAATTGAAATGTGCATTGCTAACAGCGGAGCTATCTCAGCCGATAGGCTGCTTGTTTGTCATAGTAGTCATTTATATCAGTCATTGTTATCAGTCCTTGCAACAAGTCACCTGTGACTTACATAAAATTTATTGCCATAAATGCCCCTGAACAATCAAGTCTTGAAAATTACTCTGATCTATCAATATACTGTAAACAGATTTTTAATTTCATGAGACAAATTAATTATGTCTGAAATGCATTAATTTTGGAAAGACGTATTAATTCTGCAAAAGTCACATCAAATTCAACGACATACCCATTATTAACCCTGTGACAGTTGACTTAATTCTGCAAGGGATGCATTAATTCTGCAAGGGATGCATTAATTCTGCAAGGGATGCATTAATTCTGCAAGGGATGCATTAATTCTGCAAGGGATGCATTAACTCTGCAAGGGATGCATTAACTCTGCAAGGGATGCATTAACTCTGCAAGGGATGCATTAATTCTGCAAGGGATGCATTAACTCTGCAAGGGATGCATTAATTCTGCAAGGGATGCATTAATTCTGCAAGGGATGCATTAATTCTGCAAGGGATGCATTAACTCTGCAAGGGATGCATTAACTCTGCAAGGGATGCATTAACTCTGCAAGAGGTCTTATTGTCATGAGACACGGGAAAGCAATACAATTTTGTGACATTGAACTATTGATAATTTTATAAATTTTTGACTCAATGGACATACTTTATGTATAGGTTTTTTGAACTTCGAAAAATATATGTTTATTTTTGGCAAAAGTGATAAAATTTGACTTTGATTTTCAAAACATTTTGTGAAATTTCATACCTTTCCATTGATCTTCAAATCACGATAATTTGTAGCTACAAAAATGTAACACCATTTATAGAATTGAAGTTCAAGTTGTCTACCAAGACATGTAGGTCTGCTCTCTCTTATAGAATTGTTCAATCAAAAAATTATAATCTGCTAAAAAATATATTTAAATGCGATACATTTTTTTAATTCAATTTTTACATTGTACAGTCATTATACTTTTATAAGCACTGCTATTATGCTACATTGTAAAAAAGATAGGTATATACAAGTACATCACAAAGAACTATTTTGTTCGAATACAGTAAATCTCCAACGTACTGCACCTCAATAATGAATAGCGTTGTGATATAACTGTCAATTGGTATCGCTCTAACTGCCCCGTTAAATAAACATCTCAACAATAACGTGACTATGACCTGAAACGACTGCATTGTTATACACCACTAGCATGTGATTAATCCTGTCAACTGGTCCATCGAGTAGGCAAATACTACAGTGCAATGATCCTCATAAAATACATCACATACTTCTGGTGGTAATTCTGAAACTTTCACAAAACCACATGCCATTTAATCAAACCCAACTATAAAAAAAGTAACATATTGGTAATTATTATTAAAAATATTTTCATGACTTGATTATTTTTATTAATGTTTAAACTACATGTATTTGTGAGTCCAGTATGGATGTTCCTATCTATTTTAACTGTACTGGTTTCTGATGCTGGAAACTTGACACTTGTTGTACAATAGACCCTATGTAGTAATGATTACATGTTTAAATATAGATTTTACAATAGTTGAGTTGAAAGATTTTTAAAGATTTGACTTTTCTTGAGTTCATTCACTGCAGCAAAAATCTGTAAAAAAGAATACATAAAATTTGTTTATTCAGTCATAATGATTGTTTTTAATGATTTAATTGATTGCATAAACTGTGTTTTTTTTAATATTTTTAATGAAGGTTTGTCTGAACATCAGTCCTGGGAATTGAGACCACAATATACCCTGCTACATGTTTCACTTGGATAAACCTGTTGCTAGAGTAAAACATGCAAAGACTTTTCACAACATTACTGGTCTCTGTATACTAGTGACAATTTTACAAACATTTCAACAAATTAAAAAAACCATGCCATAACTTCTGTTAATGATCTATTCAGAGAGATTTACAGTTTACACAAAATTCCATTTAGATATGTTTCCGGCTCCCACATTGTACACTTTAGCTAGGTTCCTATTTACACCGGGTTTATTTTTAGATTTTTACACAGATTCATTTTAGACATGTTACCACTTTATAAAGGGTTCAATTTATACAGGTTTACATTTTACATGTAGGGTTCAGTTTAGACAGGTTTCCACTTTACACAAGATTCAGTTTAGATATATTTACACACATATAAAGACTTACACACATGGTTCGATTTAGACAAACATCCAGTTTACACAGAAATTATTTTAGGAAGATTTCCAGTTTACACAGGGTTCATTTTATAAAGATTCCCAGTTAACACAGGGTTCATTATAGACAGGTTTCCAGTTAGCACAGGGTTCATTATAGACAGGTTTCCAGTTAACACAGAGTTCATTATAGACAGGTTTCCAGTTAACACACACAGAGTTCATTATAGACAGGTTTCCAGTTAACACAGGGTCCATTATAGACAGGTTTCCAGTTAACACAGGGTCCATTATAGACAGGTTTCCAGTTAACACAGGGTCCATTATAGACAGGTTTCCAGTTAACACAGGGTCCATTATAGACAGGTTTCCAGTTAGCACAGGGTTCATTATAGACAGGTTTCCAGTTAACACAGGGTTCATTATAGACAGGTTTCCAGTTAACACAGGGTTCATTATAGACAGGTT